ACATCTTGGCCAAAGCTTAGGTGCCATCTAAATTCGTCATCATGCAATTTATAGACTACACTTATAATTGGGTGACTAAAAAGCTTGACAGAGCACCGAAAACTCTAAATGGCATAGCTCGATTTCGTCCTGACCACTTTCTCTATATCTCTGTTTGAGTAATATCCTAAGGAATAAAACAAAAAAGCTAAGTTGTGCTACCCAAAGAAACAACCCTCTTGTTAGGTACTCGCTCAGCCTATGGGTCTCTGAATTTTCTTATACTTGCTGCTGAGATTTAATTAGGCAAACCATATTGGTTGCACTTAAAGACACTCGCATTCACACAAGCTAAGGCCTTCCCACGTTCTAAAAAGCTGGTGTATACGAAGGATTAAGTGTGCTCACTCGAAAGGAATCTCCTATCCAAGTATATAAAATTGACATGATTTAACTTCAAGTGGATATTATGGTGGTCTCTCGAACTGTCTACATCAGATCGCGACCTACAATATGGTTTGGATGTAGAAAATGGAGACCATTTGGAATAAAAGATTTGAACCTGAACGCTGTATGCTACAGAACCTAATGCATAAAAGAGCGTTCTGATTTGTGCTACTCTTCACTTCGAGATAATGAACGGGCATACATTGCCCGCCGCAACATATGCACACTGCAGTAAACCGGAGAAGTGGTACTGGTACATTCGGTTCACGGTTATGCTAAGCCAATGCTGCCTTATTCAACTTCATCCCGTGTAAAGTAAACAGTGGATTATGTCGAAGGTGAATGCAATTTCCTGTATTGCTCACTCACATGCACCCACTTACTTTGCTTCGCATTTTATTGCCTTGTACATACAACATTCAGCACAAAACCTGCTTACAATGGGTCACTGGACTAAACTATTTCTACCCAAAATGCAAATCAATCATTTAAGGATATTTTGTAAAGGCGTTTTTCTCCAGTGCAGCTGCGGCTTCCACGTAGCATAACCCAGTTCAGGAGTCTCATCACATTTCCCACATACTTTTCATCTGGTGGCTTTCTGATGCTGCCGCTAATCCCTTAGCATTAACAGCCCCATAATTTACGATGCTTAGTAATGAATTTAGTAAATGCTTAAGACAACTGGAATGAGTAGCATTTATTTCGCTTCAAAAGCAAGGAAGTACAAGAGACGTGCTTGCACACCGTCAGCTAGCTCCTCCAATTCCAAGGAAGTTGGAGCCTTCCTCACAAACTTCTGTGCAAACACAAAGACAGTCGCGGTTTCCGTCTACCACAGAGACGGCCATCCACACGACTGGCCACATTGTGGCACTGCTACAGACGGCCAAGCACATGGCTTCTCACATTGCGGCACCAGCACAGATGGCCACAAACAAGGCTTCTCACATTGAGGCACCGCTACAAACGGCAATGCACACGGCTCCTTACATTGCGGCACCACCACGGACGGCCACGCACACGGATTCACATATTGTGAGCCGTACTTACTCTCACCCACAGTTACCAACTTCAACGCATACGGGCTTGGCCAACTCCCGAATCCCATTTCCTCTGCAGTCTACTTGCTTTAGGTGATACTGACTTGTGTGCTGAGTTGTGCCACCTTTTATACTATACTCGCCACCTCCATCCGTTCCACGTGATGAGCGTGCTCATGTACTTTCAGATCGGCATTCGTACTTTTCGCCCTCCATCATCACACGCGTGACTTGTCCATCATAACGTAGGTGGAGATGGAGAGACCACTCAATTAAAGGTAAAATGTTAATTTAATGACAATGCCGATGTGAAGGCTGATGTCGGTATCAGCTTCATCGATCCCAATAAATATACCGTCATTTCCACCGTTGGTGTAGCTTACAATAATACATGGACCGTGCTGCTCATAGCACATCAGTCGTCTCT